CGCACACACACACACACACACACACACACACACACACACACACACACACACACAGAGTCCTTATCCATCAGTCAAATGCATCCTGGGCAGACTGTCGGGGCTCAACCTCCTGAGGAGTCGGTGAAAGTCCGACAGGACAGTCTGGCACAGTCGTGTTTTTTTCTTGTGGAGCTGTGTATACCTAACATGGCCACACACACACACACACACACACACAGAGGCAAATATGCCAGCAAAATGCTTGTTTGACAACAGACCAGCCAGAGATGTGACAAACAAGCGAGATCAGCGAAGGCAAGGTTAATGAAGCATTCAGGCATACACAATCCTCTAGAACGGGGCTTACATAGCACAAGAGCAGAGGATGATGAAAGCTCTCTCTCTCTCTCTCTCTCTCTCTCTCTCTCTCTCTCTCTCTCTCTCTCTCTCTCTCTCTCTCACACACACACACACACACACACACACACACACACACACGCACGGCCACTGTGTGTGGACATTGTTCACGAGCCTATAACAGCAGTCTGTGCACTGGGTCAAGCAGCAACAGCAACACACTTCCCACATTGAAGCTGTGATGCTTGCTTCCGATACTGAGCCTGCTGGGCATTGTTTACGTCGCCCAAGCCAAGCCCCGAGCAGCAAGGCTGAGGAAATTGTTGATTAGCCTGCCTAACAATACCACGCCATCGAGTCAACTCTCATTTTGCAGGAGCAAGCAACCACGGAGCTGGTTGTTTCTTCAACCATTTCTGCAGCTCTTGCATGGGGGAGGTGGCATTCAGTTTGTGACAGCTGTGTCGTTCCTTCTTCAGCTGCTCTTCAAGCTTGGCTATGGTGGATAGACTCTGTTGGGGCATGTAACGGCTATTAGCAAGTGTGGGTGGGTGTTTGGCTGAACTTTCTAAAAGGTATGCACCATCTGGGTTTGACCATAACCCTCACCCAGATGCATGGGCCTGGGTCAGGGCCCGGAAAGAGGTCTGGGCTGGGCCGGAGGTATATCATCCTTGCCTGTGTTCCATTTGAAGCACAGGTGGTCCCCACTTGCAATACCAACAGGTTCTGAAGGTGTTCGCTTCAGCTATCCCGCCAACAGCCCACCCAACACCAGTCCAGTATGAAGATCATCAGCGATGTCAGAAGACTTGCAACAAAAGTGGGCCCATTACAAAGATGTGTCGGTTAACACTTACAACTATCGACGGTTCGGGTGCCAGACCAAAACGGCTGGCAGCGCCAGCCAAAACCAGGCCCGCCCCAGTCCGTTCTTTTTGGCATGAAAGGGCGATTTTAGGTTCGGTATCATAGCTGAGAAAGATACTGGTGCTTTAAGCTGGCGATACCTACACAGGTGGGGACCATCCAGACAGCCCTCCCCTCAACGGTTACATAGAACAGAGAGCCATCACAAGCCGGCAGACCCTGAGCTGTCATATGTGCAACTTTCCTCTTTGTCTTTTTTTTTTATTGTCATCCTTGCGCAGGAGCCATGCTACTCCTCTCCGCATCATCCCAACTTTATCCCTATGTGTTCTATTTTAGTAGCATACTGATGTGGTAGAAAGATGGTCATATGTGTACTTTTTGAACTGACACAACGAATCTAAGAAACATAGACCCCGAAAAAGTCTGCCCCTTCAGATATACTGGTGATTTCACCAGTAAACCCACCTTCCGAACCCCCACCCCCCACCCCGCACCCACCTTGTTCTTATGAATGGCATCTTATACAGCCTTATGGCAGGGAATGCAAACCCTGAATATAGCACGAAATGCAAAAGCAACAAAATTTGTACCAACCATAGGCAAACCCAGCTACAGAGCAGTTAAATGACCACTACCTTTTCCAACAGCCCAGGGGTCAAGTCCCACTTACCCCAATTCTCAATTTCTGACCCTAGATTACAGAGATCAACAGTCAGAGATGCAGCATATCAGCGTAAGTGGGTCTCGGCACCTGGTTACCAGCAAGCCCAAGCCTTTTTCAGGTTGTCCATTGGATTGGCAATCCTGTCGCCACCTTTCTTTCTCTGTATTCAGGGCTTGGCCCAGTTTCCCGGAGGCAGAGGTGGCTTGAAGGAGAACATCGAGCACCGCAGTCAGCCATGCAGATAAGCTGGGAGGTACTTTTCAAGACACACGACACAGCTGCCACTTACTACAAATAAAAATACTGCCAGCGGTTCGGACACTGAGTCCAACAGTGGGCACTTCAGCAGTGCCCCAGTGTGCATGCACCTTCAGCACATCCTCGCAGACAGTTGCACCCCTCAGGCGCCCCTCAGAACCCCAAAGACCCTCCTGCCATGTCCAATCGCACAGGGCCATCCATCACGTTCAGGTGAGGCATAGTACAGGGCCATTCGGGCCCCTGCAACACGGACAGGACCTATGGGCGTTTCTCTTTTCCTCCCGATATCTGTTCCTATTTCGAGTCTGGGGCGATCACTCTAGCACAGAGATCGACTACCGTCTTCGCCCGAACAGAACACCCAGTCCTCAAAGCTGCATTCGGGGCAGCTTTCAGTCCACATGGGCCGATAATGACCGGGCGTTCTATTCCAGCGACGACCATAGGCTGAATCCTGTGTGGCCACAAAAACTCCACACCACCATTACATGATACTGTGTTCCGCAGTCCACTCAAGCACGGCGATCGACTACCGTCCTCGCCCAAACAGAACGCCCAGTCCTCAAAGCGGTATTAGGGGCAGCTTTCAGTCCACACGGGGCGATAATGACCGGGCGACGACAGCAGGCTAAATTCCGTGTGGCCACAAAAACCCCACACCACCGTTACATGATTCTGTGTCCCGCACTCGTGATAAAATGACCGCGCTATCACAGGATGTTTCATCCCTTAGACCACCAGTACACAGCCCCAGCCTTGCAGAAAATCACGAGTTGCCAACCCCAAAATTTTTTACGCTTGGGGTTACCGGACTACACTGGGTGGCAGCGCCAGCCAAAAAAGAAAAGAAGTGACCCCTGGCAGTTCGGAAAAGCTTGGCGCTCAGTGCAGCGCCTCCGGCCCCAGGGGTGCTGGAGGTTTAAACCATCGGTACTTTGCCCAGCTATTGGCCGCGGAAAAAAAAAAAAATAGAGTAGAAACGTTTCTAGTCGGATGAATTTGGGCGCTCCTGTAGTGGCCCGTACGTTTCCTAAAACAGTGGCTGGTTAGCGGGCAGACTTTAGGAAGTACAGGTGGTTTAGGGTCGTCAACATGGTGGCAAATAATTAATTCTGTTAATTATTTGCGCCCATTCATCCCACAGGTGCTGGTAGCCTGGTGCCCCTTTTTGTCCTTTTACCAGGCATGCCTCTTACCAAACCACCAGCAATAGGCCACTCGTCCAAAACTTTCAGCCGTGTTGACGAGGCCGCGCCTTCAATGTACTGGTGTGGCAGGCACGGGTCCGGTTGGTTTGGGCGCAAAATATAGGTTTCATAATTTAGGGTCTGCCATAGCGTCACGTTATAAAGCACCGGTCCCTCCGAGACCTTCCGGGGCCTTCGCTCGTATAAGCAGAGGCCACACCTTTTTTTTGTTTTTCGATGTACCAGCCTGGCGGCAACCAATTCAATTCCTTCGGGAGCAGAAAACGGTTTCGACCAAATAGGCAAGGAGAGACTGGTGGTTTTAAGGCTGTTGTGTCTCATCACCTTTAAGGCTGGTGGGTCTTTTATTCTGTTGTTGTACCGTTATTTTCATTTGTTAATGCATGATGCAGCTCAGGAGGCTCGCAGCTGTTCGTGACATTCGTAACCCCCTAACAAATAAGAGGCTCCGCACAAACCTACAGCGGGAATAAGACCCACATGAGCCTTTACTCTGTGGATTTTAGGCACAGCCACTTCCTAATAAACCCCCGCTACATCCGGAAAACACACTTCCAGAACCCAAGCCGGCCATAAATTTCAGTTGCTGTAAGATTTCTGATCCTTAGGCCACCACGAAATAATGGACGGCCTCTGGTAATCCAGGAGACCATCAAATGCACTGGCAGTTGGGGTCCCTAAAAACCTTCCTGAGCGAAATGTCATCCAACCACAAAAGAAAGAACTTTTTCTTCCAATTGGCGTATGTCAGCTCCCGTCTGATGGCAGCTCGACATTGGTTCAACCATACATGTGTCGCCTAAAGTTGAAACGCCCACCAGTGTAGCCCGCTGCTATCTTACGTCCACCTGGCAGTAGATCGTAATCTCAAGCCCACGACCGCGGTCCTGCAGCACTCCATTTACTCAGTGGCAGAGTTCGAGTCCCGACAAAAAAAATAGAGCAAGCTACGTCTAGCTTGCGTATTCCCATCTAGCTTGGGTATTCCCATTTCCGCCGCAATGACATGCATGCACTTCTCAGCCTGCTTCAAAGCAACTCTCCTTCACTTTGCAGCTCTCAAGTCGCATTGGGTACAGTATAAGTTAACGTGTACACCCGTACGGCGACAAGCAAGCATACTTCAGGCCCAAGTCCCAGTACCTACAGAGTCTGTCTGTGTATAGACCTATATGGTCACAGGCATAAACAAATACTAAACATGCTCCGTGCAATGTGTGTGTCGCATGGGTGATCCCACGGACAAGCCGTGAAAGCGTAAAGCCTAAACCTTAGTGCACCCCTACCGAGAAGAAGGCGACAGGAGGGGGAGGGAGGGAGGGAGAGAGGTGATGATGGGAGGAAAGGAGTGGGGGGGAGGGGGGAGAAAAGAAGGGGAAACTGAAAAA